TGAGCCTTGACTCGAGCATTCAAAGAATCAGAATCCTAGTTGCTTATAAAAGGGAATTTAACTTCTGCATGTTCTCCAAAGTGCACTTTTTGCACAAAAGCAATAAAAAATGCAAGTAAACAACCACGAATCTTCTTCAAATAATTATCAGGAGTCTTTTCGTTCAGTTTATTTCTTCCCAACCAGAAACTTTTGACAATCCTCAATAAAACTGCACATTTCCCTCATAATATACCCACACTAGTCAAAATCTTTGATTTTATTGACATCAATCAAAAATTTAACAGCACTAATGTTAAGAGACTTGTCACCATAAGGTGTTAAAAAATTAGTCAGTGCATAAATGACATGCTTAAGTCGTATCACCTAATCAAAAGTAATTCCTAAGTCCTCTAACTAAAGTAGATAGCGAAGTAGGGTCGAATCCACAGGGAAACAATGTTCTTTTACTCCTAATTAATAATTATAAACTAAATTATCACGTAACCAATTTATAATTGTATGAATCAAACTAAAAGTAAAACTAAGTAAATTAAACAAAGGGAAAAATCAATAATAAAAGGCTCTAGGGTATAGGTTCACCAATAAATAATACTCCATGGTAAAACATACGATCAATTATCAATGCATAAATTAACCAGATTATAAAGGGTTGTCGCTACGTATTATAATCACATAATTAATCTAATGGTATTAAATCTCATCTCTCGAATCTCGACCTAACCATTAATAGATTAACATGCCTATTGAAACTAAACCTAAACATCAATTCTCATCTCTCGAATCTCGAATCAATATTGCAAAACTCATACAATTCAATCTGCGGAAATCTAATTGCATAGCATTAAATCAATCAATAGGAAATTAATCAATCATCAACCATTAACAATAAACAATTACCCCTTCGTATTATTCATGGATCCCCACAACCCTAAAATTAAACTACTCACACATATTTAATATTAAACTAAGCAAAGCAATTAAAGAAAGCATAATTAAGTCAAAGCAATTAAATTATTGAAAATAAAGAGGGAAGAAATCGTTACCAAATTAAAGGAAATAATAAATTGAATAAATCAAGAGTGTGTAGAGAGAGAAAGTAAGAGGGAGAGAGAAAAGAGAGAGAGAAAGAAAAGTCGTCCGTGTTAAAGACGCCCCTAAACTCATTTAACAAAAGTGTATTTATACTAAACAAAAATCCTCAATAAAGAAAAAGAGAAACGAAAATAAAAATCCTAAATAGAACACGCGCCCGGTCGGGCGAGGCATCGCCCGGCCGAGCGCGCCTTTTTCATACTTAAAGCCTTGCTCGCGCCCGGTCGGGTACGCATCCGGGCGAACCTTCGCCCTATGGTCTTCTCCTCTCGCCCGGCCGGGCGCGCCTCAGAGCGAGGGCACTGCCCGGTCGGGCGGATGCTTGGGCTTACTCTTCTTCGTCCTTTGGGCCTTGTTACCTTAGCCCAATTCGTCATCCTTCTTGGATCGAATTGCCCAAGCTCCAAATCTCCTCATTGAGCCCTTAATCACCGGATTGAATCATCAATTACGGTCCTGGGCTTCGGAATACGATCATAGAAATGCGTCTCGTCTCCAATGCTCGCGGTGGCTCCACTAAGTGCCGGAAAATGTTCCAAATCTGCAGTTTCCTGTAGAATAATACCACAACTACGAAAACACTAGAAAACACATATTAGTAATAAAATTGGCTCTAAAGAGTCAAAAATACTCCTAACTATGATCACGGGACGGGGAATAAATATATATATAAAATAGACTTATCAATAAACCATAAAGAGTCTTTTAAATTGATCCCCACCATCCTTTAAAGCCTTTAATTTCTCCTTCCAAACTTCCAAATTTACATATCTCTTTTTGGCAATAGACTTAGCTCTAGGAGCCTTCTCTTTATTCACAGACTTATCTCCAACAGACTTCTTTTTATTCACGGACTTATCTCCAGAAGACTTCTTTTCTGTCCCAAATGTTGAAGGAGCTAGAAAAACAAAAAAGATTACATTAGTTAGTATATAGAGGATATGATTAAAGACATAGAGGATATCAGTAGCATAATGAAGTATATCAAGAAACTTATCAGAAAATCAATTAAGAACATCATAACAAGGATAAAAAATATACTGAACACAAGAAAGAAATAAAAACTACAATTGAGGATATCAGTAAAAAGAATACAAGAGATAAATTAAATAATTGAGGATATAATATAACTAGGAGAAATAGAATTAAGAAAAATAAAAGACATCAATACCTTTGTCACCAAGTTTTCTAGGTTTCAAAGCAGCTGTTCCAGATAAAAAATTAAGTTTCTTCTTCTGGGGCTTGATAACTTCAGCTTTCTCAGCATCATTTAAACCAAAAAAGTCCCTCCATTCCTTGATTATGTCCTTATCTGGATTTTCAGCATGCTTCATTTTTGACAATTTAATAACCGAAGTCCCAATGTGAGGAATGCCAAGAACATTGTGTAAATCAGCACTGTTAAAAGACACCTTCTGATCTCTAACCAACAAAACTTTTGCAGTAGGATTAAAATTAAGAACAAGAGGCATATACAAAGATCTATTTAGATCTTTAGACAAGTTCATCTTCAAAAGTCCACCAAATCCAATTTCTTGAACATCAGACTTTTGTTTCTCAGATAAAAGGTTTATAAAGTAAGTCATTGAAGGTGCACTTGACTGACTAGACACTGTCACATCTGACTGATCATCTTCAGTTATATCAGTGGAAAAATAAACAAAAAATGAAAATGAAAAAACAAGGGAAAAAATATAAGATAATAAATGTAATAATTTTCTTACAATGTAATACCTCAAATCTAAAGGTTGTATTTCCAATTTCCTTCTTTTTTGAGGCTTTGGAACATCAGATGTAACTTTTTTAGCAGGAGATTCTTTTGCTAGTTTTCTGAAAAAGTAAATAAAGTGTAAGATAAAATAATGAATAATATCATGAGAATAATAAAGGACATGCATCATACATACAATACAAGATATCATTGAAACATAAAAGACAACATGCATACAATACAAGAATTGACAACATATTATAATGTCCTTTATCATTAATATAATAAAAGACTAATAAAGGATATAATTAAAATAATGGAGGAAATCATTTATTAAATAGAGGACAGTATACAAAGGATTAGATACATGACATCATCAAGGGAATAGAAGACATCATCAAGAGCATAGAGGACATCATATATTAGATAAAGCACAGGATACAAAGAATTAGATACAGGACATCATCAAAAGAATAGAGGACATCATCAAGAGAATAGAGGACATCATTTATTACATAGAGGACATCATCAAGAGAATAAAGGACATCAGTCAAAGCATTAAAGGATATCATGTATAGTAGCAGAGGATATAGAGGACATCATCAAAGCAATATAGGATATCATCAAAACAATATAAAATAAAATCATTACAAAGTGAGACATCAGTAAAACAATAGAGTATATTATATACATAATACAGGATATAATGAAATGAATGCAGGATATCTACTAAAACAAAAATAAGGTATTGTCGCATAATGATAATCAAGATACAAAATATGATATCAAAGAATACATATTAGCAAACAAAGCATTTATATCCTCAATAATAAAATACGAATTATCTATTCCGGCAGAGACATAACAAACCTAGTTTCGGTGTTTAACTTTGTCTTCGACGTTTTCTTCGAAGATTTTCTGCCAATCAACAATCAAAAATTCAACACAAATTATTAAACACAAGTTGTAATTGAACTAGAAAATGGCAAATTAGCCTAAATAACGTAAAATAAACATAGAAATGAAATTCAAAATTAATAATCAACAATCGAAGAAGAAGATTGGAATAAAACATAAAATAACTTCATCAATATTAACTTCAACAACAATCATCATCAATAATAACTTCATCAACAGAAAAATCAAAGAGCATTTTAGCAAATTAAACAAAAAACTGAAAAACCTAAATGAAAAGAGAAAATTCAAAAACAAAAACGCTCAAATGTATACCTAGTAGCAGAATTAGACTTAGGAGAAACAATATCATCGGAAGATAACAAAGGTTGAGTCGCATTCTTCGACCTCATCGTTGTTGATTTGCGACGATAATAAGTACGACTAAAATCTTTCATAAAACACCAATAATCAAGAAATAGAAAAGGAAACAAAGATGACAAAGAGTAAGTAAGAATGCAGAGAAGCGAAATCGAAGTACGAGTGAAGAGAAGAAGAAGAAGTAGAAGAAAAATGGAGGAAAACTTGAAATTGAAGCTGAACAAATGGCGGTTTATTTTGGAAAAAGAAAAAAAAAGGAAGAATAAACGTTGAGAGAATAAGTTGGGTTGGAGTAATAGGTGACGCATTTTTGGGCTGGACAAATGTGTTTAAAAACAGGCCGGGCCAACAAAATTGCTTAAACAAAAAGTCGGGCCAACAAATCCGCTGGACTGACGAAAGGGTTGGTCAGGCTTGACTGACCCAATAGTTTGTGTTTTTTAATATCCTTACCATTGTTCATGTGTTACTCCATAACAAGTTTAAAATTACTGTTTTTTCACCATATACCCATGAGTTTTTGTTTATTCACCATATACCCCTAAACTTTTTTAATTCATCATATACCCCCGAGTTTTCACAAAAATACACTAGATACCCTTGATAACTAATGATTGTTATTTCTTTAGTCATTAGCTTTAATTATGACCCGAAACCACCCTAAATACATTCCCCTACCCCCCGAAACCACCCACATTCCTTTTTCCCACCCCTCAAACCACCCCAAATTTCCTTTGCTCATCCTCAAAATCAATCATACGGATATAGTTATGGAGATTTGGAGTGGTTTCGGGGGTTGGAGAAAGGAGAGGAGTGGTTTCGAGGATTGGGGAGAAACATCTAAGGTGGTTTCGATGCATAATTAACCAAATTCTACTCATCTTATTGTCGTTAGGGGTATAAGGTGAATTTTTGTAAAAACTCAGGGGTATATAATGAATTTAAAAAATTTCAATAGTATATGGTGAATAAACAAAAAACTTACGGGTATTTGCAGTGGCGAACCCCAGGACACAATATTTTTAAAAAATAAAATAAAATAAAATAAAACTATTCCCGATGTTATTTTCTTTTTTGCCCTTTAGGTCTCCCAGCCTCCCAGGGGCCAGGACACAGTACTCCTTCCTCTCTCTCTCCTCCATTGAACATAGTAGAAATTCTTCATTGAAGGAGCTTCTGAGCTTTCGCTCCTCCATTGAAGCAGTCTCTAAGGTGAGATGCTTCTTTCTTTAATTCTAATATTAATTTTGACAATCTAGTGTTAATCGTGTATTTAATTGTCAGTATATACTCTAATACTCAATTTCGGGTTCTTCGAAGTTGGATAATTGAACTATTGGTTATATACTCGAAGAATTTAACGTAATTTTTGGAGTCTAGTTTGATAATTGAGTCAATTTTGGTTGCTAATGTGTTGCGGGGTTTGGTTTGTCCGTTTGTGTAACTCATTAATGTCAGGATGAAACCATGAAAATTCCAAGGGGTGGGGGAATGGTTTCAGGTAGGTGAAGCACCGTCTCAACCAAACCAAGGCACCACATCACCTTGCACTACCGATCTAATCGAACCACTGCACCAGCACCTCCATTTCAGTTTATGTTGTTATTCTAAGGTTGGGGGGAGATTTCAGGTAGGTGAGGGTGGATTTATGGGGGTCAGGGTGGATTTTCGTTGGGTGGAGGTGGCTAATCAATGGTAAGGGTTTTTCGAGAAGGTGGAGCCGTGGAGGTGAATTTAAGGGGGCGAGTAGATTTTTCAGGAGGGTGGAGGTGAACTTATGAGGGGTGGGTGGGGTTTCTGGTTGGGTAGGTGAATGTCATGGTGATGGTGGTTTTTGGGTGGGTTTTGAAGTTAAGGGCAGTCAGGCGGTGATGATTTGGGTGGAGGTGGTGGCAGTGCAATGGTGGTGTGGTGTGTCTTTGGTCAGTCTTAGGCGGTTTCGGGTCAGGGAACGAGGAGATAGAAAACGGATCTAGAACGAAGGTCAAGGTGAAATCATCGGTCTAAGATTTTTGTTTTTACCTGTCAATTGCTAATTTTTATTGGGGGTTCGATTGATTCAGTGTTACTCCGTAGATGTTAATTTTGCCAATATGTGCTAAATTTGTTAATTTATTTTGATAGAATTGATCTACTAAATTACTAATAATTCAGAATTTGTCACTGATAGGACAACCTATTAATCAAATTCTGGATCCACCACTAGGTTTATGGAGAAAAAACCGTTAAAATTAATGGTTCGAGAGAATACAAGGTCACTAAAATTAGACCACCACGGTGCATTCGATGAGACATGACTAATTTGACCCTTGATCAAAAGTGGACCCAACCAAATTGTACCAACTAAAAAAAACGATCTGGGCTCACGTTGGTCAATTGAAATCTTACGTGGCAAACAAACAGACATTTTTTTTTCTCAGCTGGGTTTCTTCTTCGAAAAGGGTAAACTGTTTATTTATTACTCCGAACAAATTTTCTAATTAGGGATTTAGGGTTTAAATTTTGGGCCAAAAATCGAAGTTTTTCAATTTCTTGGATCTAAATCGAGTTAAATTTTCTTCGTTTTCGAAATTTCTGGAGATTGTTTTGAAGATGAAATGATTAATTTTACAGAAATATCTTAACAATGGATTCTCCGGTGGTAGCTGTGAAAGATAACAAGCTATTAAAAGGAGCTTTTGCAGTCGGCGGAATCATGGTTACTCTCGTCATCTATGGTCTTTTACAGGTAATTTAAACCCTAATTATGGCCGATTAATTTGTAAAACAATCAAACTTGATGATTTTCGTCTTTATTGTTATTTGTTTTTGTCTGTAATGACTTTGTTGTTATCTGTGTCGATTTTTCCACAGATTTTAATGCTATTTTGAATAATGTTGATTAACTGAAACAGATGATAATAAGTTGCGAGCTCAATAATAATTGTGGAACATTTAAAAAGAGTTTTTTTTGTTGATTTATATCAAGTTTGCAACTGATATTTAGTGAAATTTAAGCTGTAAAGAATAGTGGAAATACGATTAATTTGTGCAGAAATTAGCGGTTTTTGATGTGAAATCATCAAAATTTGCGGCGATATGATTAAGATTGAAGATTTGAAGGCAACATTTGGTGTGATGAATGTTGAATTATATGCTTATTGTATTTAATACTAGTAATTGAGTTGAAGAATGTTACATTTTGCTTATTTATGTGGTGTACTGAGCTGAAGATTTTGTGATCTTGCAGGAAAAGCTCATGAGAATTCCGTATGGGCAAAACAAAGAATTTTTCACATTCTCACTATTTCTAGTCTTCTGCAATCGTCTTACAACCTCAGCTGTATCTGCTGCTTCTTTAGTGGTAAAAACGTTATTAAACTGGTCTAGATATGTTGTGACTGATTTGGCTTTAATATACTTGACATTGCATATAAACTGTTTTGCTGTAATGCTGATGTATTTGTGTTGTTTATGAAATTATGCGTTAATTGTGTTGTGGTTTTGACTCTTGCCGTTCGTCGATTTGTTTCTTTAGGCGAGTAAGAAAGCTTTGGATCCTGTTGCCCCTGTTTATAAGTACTGCTTGGTGTCTGTAACCAATATTCTAACCACAACATGCCAGTATGAAGTAAGTAAATGCTCCTGAGATAGAAGTGAATTTGATGAAAACCATGGTCAATCTGTTAATGCCAGAAGTTTGGGATCGGAGTTTAAACCAACCTTCTTGTTTTCTTTCAGGCCCTTAAATATGTCAGTTTTCCTGTCCAGACTCTTGCAAAATGTGCCAAAATGATACCAGTCATGGTAAGTTTAAACCAACCTCCGTGTTTTCTCTCAGGCCCTTAATTTTAAACCTGTTAATTTTAGTGACCTGCAAATTTTTTTTTTCTTCTTTTCTTTTCTGTTTTTGGGATGGAACGCCCTTTGATCTTGTAAAGTGGACTCTCTCTCTTAGTTGCAGGTGTGGCCTAGACCCGTATTTAACATGCTCTTATTAAATTTGCCACTTTCCATTTCGAAGGGTGGAAAATGACTAATGTTAATAGCTTGTTTCAAAAATATCTAAAGGGCCAAGGCTAGCGATATTTCTGCATATCTTATTTATTAGCTTTCTTTGCTAGATGTTTGATCCACTCTCTTTCCTTGCATTTGCAGATTTGGGGTTCTATAATCATGCAGAAAAGATACAAGGGGCTCGATTATTTGTGGGCTGTCCTTGTAACTGTTGGATGTTCTGTGTTTATTCTGTATCCGGTTAGTATTATGGTTTTGTTTAAATTTTTGTGCAGCTTGAGATTGTGATTGTTAGTGCTGTTGTAATCATCTTCATGCATTTGAAATGGTGTTTTGTGGTTCATTATAACTAGAGTATTCTTTATAGATTATTTCCCTATTATTTCTTCTTGGAATTTTAGGCGTTAGCATCTAATCATGTAGTGGTAGCGTGCTAATGCTCATATTCAATATAAATATGTCTTGTAGAAGGAAATGCTTGCTTTATACTGCATTTTTTTTTTTTTTAATTGCACCACTTGGTATGAGCACAAAATTTAAGAAAAAATGTAAAAGATGGAATATGTCAAAAGTGCCCATGTGATAAAAATAGATGAGAGAGAGAAAAGGTGGGGTAATAATGTTTTTTTATCACATGTGAACAAGGGTAAGTTGGGTATGTGTGTGAACACAACCAAAAAGTTAAAAAAAAAAAAACCAAATAAGAAAATGGTGCAATTAATATGCAACTTCCCAAAAAGGAAAATGATGCAATTAAAAAAAAACGGAGGAAGTATTAATCTTTAACTGTATTAGTTGAAAGTTGTCTTATCATTGGCAATCACGATTGGGTAGTACCACCCCCCCCCCCAATCTTTTTTGTGGGAGTCATGACCCTTTTTGTTGCTGTTGAATACAGGCAGGAGATGATATCAGCCCCTACAAGAAAGGGAGAGAGAGCACGGTTTGGGGTATGTCCCTCATGGCAGGCTATCTGGGGTATTAGTCTTGCACTTTAACTCACTATTTTATCCTGTGTTGTGCTGCTTTGAGTTTCACATGCTGGCTGACTTTATGCAACATCTTCCTTTCCTGTGAGTTTAGCAGTGTGTGGGGATTGGGGAAGTTCTATGGTTTACCCCAACTTACTACCTGGGATTTTGCTGCCAAAATGTTCCCCTATTACTCTCTTAAGCAGTAGCATCCTAATCATCCCTCTACTCCACTCTTTTGTTAAGGAGGAGGTCAATATGTTTACACTTGAAGCAGAGATATTCTCTATAGGTCTTGCTTAGACTGGTATACGATAAAGTGAGGGAGATACAATATTGCTGAATTTTAAATGATATCATTTGCATCCTATATTTGAAGAAGGATAGCCTGTCAGAGTACTCTTTTTCGTTGCACTTGATCTGGGAATTAGCAACTATACAAAGCACTCTATTTCACCCTATGTTTCTGTGGACTTGTTTCGATTTTTGACAATTTGAGAGATCTTGGGATTGTCATAACATATTGATTATGTACTTATTTCCCTATCCTGATATAAAGTCTTATTTATTTGGTGAAATAGCATACTTTGCATTCTTCTTTCCTGACTTCAATGTCTCAACTAGCTTAAACGTCATAAATGTCATTGTTTCCTTGTGGTGCAGATTTGATGGCTTTACAAGCACATTCCAAGATAAATTATTCAAAGGTTACAATATGGAAATACACAACCAAATATTTTATACCACATTGTGCTCCTGTGTGCTAAGTTTGACTGGTAGGTATACCCTGTTTATTATTCTATTGCTTCATGCATTCCCATTTTGTCTATTTGTGCTATTCTGATGTGTGGGGATGGATATTCATATTGAGTTTACATATGATGCATGCCATGTTACTGGTTCGCCTGACTTGTGTTGAAATTACTGAAACCAAAATCTTTAATACCTTTGATGTGTTTGCTTTGGGTTGGATTGATTTTATAAACACAATTATCTGTGGAATGTGGACTTTGCACATATTTTGATGAATTTGCTTTTTTGCTTCGCAGGACTTGTATTACAAGGGCAACTTCTAGCAGCTATAGATTTTATTCATAGACACAATGATTGTTTATACGATATTGTATTGCTTTCTATTGTAAGATTCATATCTTTTCTCTTAATCTATTATTCTAACAGTTCATATGCCAATCTTAGGAAACTCAATTTGCAACATGTCTTAATCTTCAATTTTTCATGTAAGTTGGTGGTGCATCATAGTAGCTTATATTGGAGCTTGTACAGGTAGCTACTGCTAGTCAGTTCTTCATTTCTTATACAATTCGGACCTTTGGTGCTCTCACTTTTGCAACCATAATGACTACAAGACAGGTGAGTTTTGCTATACATGTTTCGTTTTTGTTTCTTTGTTATTGCTGAAACAAGTGTCCTCTATAAATGCAGCTTATCAGCATCCTACTCTCATGCCTGTGGTTTGCTCATCCTTTAAGCCCATTACAATGGCTTGGAGCAGTAAGACGTTTGACCTTTTGGTATTTTTGTCCAAAAATGTAGTGATATTGTTTAATAATGCATTATCCTCCACCAGGTTATTGTATTCGGTTCACTATATGCGAAAAGCTTCTTGAGGGACAACACCCAAAAATCCCCTCCTCCAACAGACGAGCAAGATAAAGAATTGGCTCCACTAAAGGGCAACCCGTAAGTTGAAAGCATTTTTTTTAATGTCGTAGTTTTGCCCCATGTTGAGGTTGCTAAGTGACCCCATTTTCTTAGACGTGATGTTGTAGAAGGGGATTTTGGCGATAACGGATATATATTATTATAGTCTAGGGATTTTTATAGTGAAAACGGATAGTTAGTTTAATAGTCGTAGGGAACATGACCGGGTTGATAATTTGGCTTTTCTCTCCTATATTTCTAAACGGAAAGATGAATAGGTTAAGTTATTGTTAAGCAAGTCGGCAATTCAGCTAATTTATGTGAAATATTCCAACACACTAAGTGTATATGTTAATCTTGATCTAACCTTATGAGTTAGCATATTATCACGTGTTGACTATGCCATAGTCCTGCATTGTGCATCACTCGACAAGTGCCCTCGAGTCAGGCTTTTCCACAGTGGCACATCATGCCTTCAAAATGCACCTCTTAACACGCCTTCAAGCTCCAAGCTCCAAGCTCCAAGAAATGCCCCTTGAATGAACTAAGCCGCCTCAGTATCTGTGGTATGTCTGGTCACTCACGCTATGATGTACGAATGAAGGTTGAGTTGGAAGAGTACACATGGGAATGCTTACTTGTGTTGAACTCTTAATTTAAATGTATACTTGACGAGGGTTTTAGTCTTGAGTACGTCTTCCATGGTATTTTTTTTGTTTACCAAAGTAGACTAGTAATATTTAATTTCCTAAGTACAATAATCAAAAAGATGTTTTAAATTAATTTCGGGTTTTTTTTCTTCGCATTTTATTCACCTGAGACCGAGGTATTTTAAATTTTTAATTGAGTTTAAGTAATCCTTATTATCCCTTATCTCTTAGGAAATCATGTTGGTTATTTACATTGTTAAATAGAGTAAAAAAAACATGAAAAAAACATGTATAAATTCTCATTGAACATTCAAAACAGAACCCGTCAAGGTATTTTTTTTGTTTACAAAAGTAGACTAGTAATCTTTAATTTCCTAAGTACATATAATCAAAAAGATGTTTTAAATTAATCTCGGGTTTTTTTCTCTTCGCATTTTATTTACTTGAGACCGAGGTATTTGTATTGAGTTTAAGTAAAATCCCTCTACGAGATTTCTATTATTCAATTCAGCTTGAAAAGAAAGATCAAGCCCATAAGAGCTCTTTTTATTATCCCTTATCACTTAGAAAATCATGTTGGACATTTACATTGTTATATAGAGTACAAAAAACATGAAAGAACATGTATAAATTCTCATTGAACATTCAAAACAGAACCTATAATTAAATAAAATCTCAAGCATCCTATATGCGAAAATCGCTTATTCAAATAGTCCAACCATGGTATCAATTTCTGGTAATTTAACTAAGCATTCATTTTCTTAAAGTTGGAAGAGGGAAAAAAATTTCATCAGAAGTCCTTGTTGAGCGGAATTGCTGCTCGATCTCAGTAGGCACCTTGAAGGCGGCTTCCAGCACTAGTGGCGATAATGCCTTCCAGACTGAAATCTTCCCTGCTAAGTGTGTAAAAACAGGACTGCAAAGTGCAAACACCGCGAAAAAAGTATGTTAGAAGATCAATCTTTAGTCTTAATAACAAAAACCAAATACACCAATACAAAACAAAGGAGTCTGTTTCTTACTCTGGAGTAGAGATGATCGAAAACCACTCCAAGCCATCATCATCCGCAATCTTTGAAACAACAAAAAACCGGGGCACGATGAACAGATTGTTTGCTGTGATCGTGATCTCCAACACCCTCTTACCATCAACCCCGATTACTTGAACTACCACTACCTCTGACGATGTAAGTCACCTGGTAGGCAGAGTCACAAGAGAACCCTGGAGAGCACATAGCTTTTTCATTGAGCCTAATAAGGTCAGCCCCAAGGCCTACCTCACCCACCAAGGGCCTCCACCCTTGATGTCAAAATCCAATGGAGCTTCCTCACAAATTCAATGCTGTTCCATCACGGTGTTCCTTCTTGGGTTTAGGCATTTTGTGTTCCAAAAGTTCTCGTGCATGTCCTCTTATACTTTATGTGATTTAACATTTTAAACACGTAAGAACTCTACATAATAAATCAAGAAACCGATATAGCAATTAACCACATGTAGCTCAATTTACTTCTTGAATTAATTAGTGATGAGCACATACAAATTATTTTCATTAATCTTCCTTAATTATCTAGTTTGATATATAAAATTGCACTATTACTACCTTGCTGCATAATAACACTAATAAACCTTTCTTGATTCAATCTCAAGTAAATGAGTGAGTATAAATAATAAACTAATTTGTTTGACTCAACTCCAATAATTAAATGGGTGAGAAATAAATCATGAACCATTCTCAATAATTCTAACTTTTACTCTATTCAATAATCATAAGCATTTCCTCAATTTGAACTAATTTCCTAAACTTCGTGCCAAAAGAAGTATAATGCTAAAAAAAACGGAGTCACGTTGAATCTAATGAACCTTTACACTTCATAGTTGAATGATTATTAAATCAAAATGTATCCAGAAAAATCAATATGTATCCAGAAAATGTAAATGTATATATAACGTATAATGCCTTTATTTCAATCCTTTAATGGAAGACCATTCGCCTTCTCAAAATTTACATCTTAGACACCACACTTTTAAACCTTCACAGGTAAGATAAAAATAAAACATCAACAATATCTCAATCATAACATTTTCCCTTTTTTTTTTATAATGGAAAATAAAATCAAAACGACACACTGCAAACAGACAATAACATAAAATGAAGTACAAAAGTATTATCCAATTATCAGCACTCAGGTGTGAGGGTATGATCTCTCTTAGAATCCTTGCAATAATCATAAACCAAGTAGTTTCTTTGGGCCCAATTCATCGCCGCGACTTGTTGTGGGCTGAGGTTATTGGGCCCAGAAGGTGAAATTTTTGGAAGGCGACATGATCCTTTAGGCCCACCTAATTCACAGCCCGCAATCTTGAAATTTCGGTATTGGCCCACAAATGGTTGATAATTGTAATTTGCTTTGATTTTACCATCTTCAGTGGCCCAAGATGAAGCATCCCAAATTGATCCATACATGTACATGGGCCTTTGTGGAAACGTGGCATCACTTTTTCTAGGGTACCTTCTTATAGGCACATCATCCACTAAGAATCTGCAACGTGGCCCATTAAATTTCATTATTTTCCACATTATTGTATAATAAAATAATATTAATAATAAATGATGATCCCTCCGTATTTTAATAAGTGTTACACTTTGATCGGCACATAGTTTTAGGCAAGTTAATTGACTTAATTAAAATAAGAGGTAAGTGGGGTAGTTGGAGTATTATAAAATTGTAAAAGAAAATTAGTAGGGTTAATAATTTATTGAAAAATAATGAATGTGAGAGGAAAGAAGTTATAAAAAAGTCATAGTGGGTTTTTCCAAAAAAAAAAAAAAGTAGTGGTGGGTTTAGGTGGGGGCTATGAGAGGAGAGAGATATAATATTAAAATGTAGTTTTTTGCCAAAAAAAAAGAAGTGTAACACTTATTAATACACGGCCGCATTTGGTAGGTGTAACACTTATTACAACACGAAGGGAGTAATAGCGAACGCTACGGGGTGTTAGATAACCCTTTAAAATAGTTATTTAAATGATATTAATTTGGGCATGCATGCCAAATCACGCGTCAATCGATGTAATTAATGTTTATTTCAGCATAATATTCTACTTTTAGTTATTTTATCCAACATTTTCGGAGCGTTCGTTAGCTTTTGCCTATTAGTAATAGTAATAATAATAATAGTTGTATTGATTTTTGAGAATATAGGACAAACGTGATTATGCCATTTGTCTTAGATATCAAAACTTTGATTTGTGACATCCTTATAATTATGGCCCGTTTATTATTTGGCTTAATTGGTCACTTTATAACATTCCTTTTCATGTTTACAAAGGGCAATTCCATCCCTACATTTTACATCAAAGGGACCATTAAAATACTTATGTTTCTATTTTGATGTGCTTTCGTAAATTTTCATGATGTTACATCATTTTCATCTGGAGGAGGTGGTGGAGGTGGATACCCTGATTAGGACGGTGTAGTCGACGGGTTGAGTTTTCATATTAGCAGAAAGGTAAGGGGAGGTATTAGTAATGGAATAGGCATCTCGGTAGAAGTAGATGTGCACGAGTTTGAGGCGATGAATTTTATATATATATATATATTTTGCAATAAAAGAAACCATAAATCGTAATAGTAATAAGATAAAGTTAAAATTCTACTGTGGCTTATTTTAAAATGGAAATTTCAATTGTAATCACATGTTAGAAGCTTTTCTCTTACATGATGGATGTTAATAGAAGGAAACTTCTATGAATGTTATCAACTTGTTTTTATTGGTTAGCTTAATTGTGGTTGTATTAAAAATCTTAATTGGTTGTCAAACTCATATGTGATATTGTACCAGAATTTTCCATTGGAAGAGTGTTGGAGTATACAAATATAGTCTACTAATTATTCATTTATTTGTCTGATAAAGCAAAGATCTTAAAAATTAACGAATCATTCAATTAAATTACTTTATATTTCCTTACCAATAATAATAGCCAAGCACTAGCTTAGCCATCTGTGATCAATAATCATTATTAACATCATTATCTTAATTTTAAATTGTTATTGATTGAACGTGATCTTTCCCAGAATAGTATCCACAATTATTGTTCATGTATGACTTAATAATTACTCTTTCCTAAATCTTAAAACAATGCGATTAAACAAAATTTTAAAATTTTATTTCACGACTTAATTTATTTAATTTTATTTTTATTTTTATTTTTATTTTAACCATCAATTGTAATACGTAATATCTTATATATGTTCTAAAAAAGCATTTTTATTAAATTTAGTTCATCCCAAAAATAATAGGCCACATATGATCTAAATTAATTATTTATAAGGTATTCAACTAAAATATCAAAACCATCCTTTACTCTTTTTCTCCACAATATATACCATTCCAATAGTTTTCCATTGAATTTTTTCTACCATATCGATGCTTGTTCCATGAGAAAATTAATATTACATATATATTTATTGTAATTTTGAATGGACATACTAGAATTATAGTGCATTCTATTAAACTTATTTTGACTCATTTCGAATAAAATCAATTATAATTAATTCTCAGTAATTTAATTCACAACTACCACACACTAATAATTTTACTTTAAAATAAGTTCTACATAATATAAACTAAATAAGACTTGACAAAATAAAGTAATTAAATTCGTTCAAAGAAATCAAATTAGTCATATAAAATTGTCAAAGAAATTGAATGTTGAACATTAAATTAATCAACTGCCCTGATGCAAATACGGATTTGGTCACTTTTTAGTAAAGGTACCAATAATTGAACCTAAAATAGTACGGCCAAATATTTATATAATTGGTTGTCAACCTCCACTATTAATTCCGACAAAGGTGATCTATATTAAGTTATAGCGTACTACTCTTCCTTAAGTTTTTTTGCTAATGTCAATGTTTTGGTGAGGTGTCGGTTCATCTTTTTTTCAAGGGTATACTTCTTGTCCCCCTCTTTTATACAATATTGTACGTCCAATGGTTCATTCTCTTATTATGGGATCTTAATTAAGCCCCATGATTTAGGGTTGTGACCATTGAGGGGAACTGGGGCCGGGAGGTCGTTTTTGGAGTTGGTCGCCTATGGAATCATTGCGTTACAGTATACTATCATTTTACTCGTAAATAGATTAATAGCATATTATAAATGAGCACTGCCTCTCAGATTGAAAAGATGAGTCATTTTCCTCTTATTATTTCCTGCATCGTTCTTCACCTCTATATTAATCCTCGATAAACCATATATTTTTTTAATCACTTTTGTGTATAACAATGTAGCGACGTGTCTCTCCTAAAATCCCAAGACCTCACTCTTATACATCAATCTTAACTTATGTAGTATGTACAACCTTTATACGCTTCCCCTAATTTTTCTAGCAAGGCCTAGTTTATGTGGTTACATTATTATGGACTTATTAACCTCTAGTTAGGATATCCCATCAATCTCTATAAATCTTTTCTATCAATAATTAATTATGGCATGAATAAATCTAAAATAGATACACCTTGCTGTTAGCTTATGAAAAAGACGTCATGTTAACAAAAGGAAAATCCCACTTTTTTCACGTCCATATTGCAATCATACAAACTAACATACAAAAATAATGAAATAAAAAAACAGATTAAGTTTTAATTGATTAAAAAGGACAATACTAATTTTACAGGATGAAACATCCTTGTTATTGTTAAAGATCGATCATAGGACAAAATTTGCCCCTTTAGCTCTCGAGTAAGCTATACTATTTTAAGGTTATGTATAATTATTGATTGCCACGTATAAAATTGCATTGATGATAAAACCGACAAGTAATAATGTATTGATTTTTTTTTTTAAATGCCATAGCCATATGTATATGATATAATTTAGCGGCTAGATATTATATCATGAAATATAAAAATCGAATAACTAAAAGGAGGAATAGGGAAAGCGATACGTACATTATGTCATTTTGTGACCAAAATATGGCATAGTTGTGAAAATCTTTGGTAGGATCAAACCATAAATGAAATTTCATTTCTCTTCCAATAAGCCTTCCATCTCCACTTCCTTCGACATAAACATTTGTCTGTAATATGTATGGTTTTCCAGGGGTTGTACCAAGGAATTCAATATCAACTTCATCATGGTGACCAGGAAAATCTTCTTGATTTGAAAGCTGCCAAAATCAGTTACAAAATTATATAAATAATTATTTAATTAGTAGGTAACCACCGCCTAAAAGTAATGTTAATCAATGTTAGATGGATTCCAATTTTATCATTTCTTCTTTGGCTTGAATTAATGTTGTTTTGATTGAGTTTTGACATTAAAAATACTGATAATAAGTAGGTTCATAGTTCATATCAATTGTTATATGTCTCAGTCAAGCCATTGAGGTATCATGTGGTGGTTTTGATTATAAATTTAACCACTTGAAATAGCACCTGAAATACTAGAAATTCCTTATATTCCGTAAATAGTAAGTCCAAAATTATGGTGCACTACTACTTAATTATGGTATGACAAATAAAAAAGAACACCACGAGTATACTATTACAAAAATAAAAGTTATGTATAATAAACTATTATTTAGTAGGCTTAATTATTATAACAAAAAAAAAAAAAGAAGTCAAGTTTATCTCCTCTATATATCGGTATCAGGTTATCACCCATGCTAACTTTTAAACAAAAAGTCACTATAAAACTGTTAATGAGGATTGAAAACCGTAATTCACAAGTTTATGAGAGTGATATGCATATCAATGAGACAAATCAAATAGCTCTTAGCTAAAGCAAAAGGAAAAAAAAAATATCGATTACCACTACTACGGTCGAGCCAGACCGTGACAGTGCCTTGTTGGAACGTCTGGTGTTGAGGACCCCATAGAGTCCTATACCCTTGATTGAAACTCAAAGGAGCAACTTGGGAACTAGGGTAGTAGCCAGGGGAAGGTTGTGCATTGCATAAATGAGACACAAGAAGAAGAGTAATGAGACACACAAAAGGGGCCATGTAATTCAACAAAAAAGAAAAGAACACTATTTTTTTCAATATTTTGTGGGGAAAAGGAAATAGTAATATTTAAAAGAAGTTGTACTAATGCTTAGTGTTTAGGGATCAAGAGAAATGAGTATATATTGAAGAGTGTGCTAATTGAAGTGGGTATAAATAGGAAGTATTAAATGACCCTATGAAAAGAAGTTGATTTGGAAGTTACAAATAAAGACAAAAATAGCAACATCTTGTGAATAAATAATGCACAAATTTCTTTCCCTTATACTCTATATAATTGGCACTTTTATTTTGTGCCCTTTTTAAAGATTATTTATGGAAAATATTATAGTTGGATTAAGACACTTGGACACTTGGTTATTGGAATTAGTTATATGACATTATCTTAGGGTCATGTGAATCCAAAAGGTGTGGGTATGTACTATGTAGTTTCACTGATTTTGCGCTCAAATTGGCTACTATTTTCACTACCTTGTTATGATTTAGGTGATTTGGTAGGTAATCGGTTTCGACAAGTACGCAACATTATTGTATTAAAGTATAACTTACACACTTATAAGTCATATGGCTAAATATCAATTATAGGTTCCAAATCTTCCAATGTCCATACTCTTCCCGTCTAAATCAAATTCTTACTCGTAGATGTTTTCGAATGCACATAAAACGCTAAAAATATAGTTAGATGTACAAACGTTATTAGATTAATAATCTAAAGTAACTTCAAATGAGAATTATTCTAGTACATTTAATTAACTAGGTACACTAAGCAATTAAGGTTTTGGCACGTGTATTTGGTTGGAAAATTTATCTTATATCTTTAAGATTAAGAATTCGAGTTTTTTTTTTTTTACTACATGTGTGCTTAGCTTGGAGAAATGATCCCTTACTCTTCTCTTTACTTCCAAGTATTTGCCCCTAAGAAAATTGGACTAAAAGTGTGAGTGAAATGTTTCTTCTTCTATTGTTTATGTAGAAAGTACGTAGTAAGTAAAGTGGTTCATAGAGAGCCTTGGCGATATATATATACAGACAAATACATAAGATCTAGTACAATAAAAATACCGTTCGTCCTTTACATGTATAAATACACTAACAAGAGATATAATAAAGACATCGAGGATTCATGTCTTTTATAGAAATTGTTGCAATTAATTTGGGACAACTTTACAAAGAATGTCATGTGAGTAATTCGGCATGAATGGAGTTATATTGATATCTTAAAGTTAAATTACATTAATTTTAAAAAGACTCAAGATAATGTTTTACTTATATTAAAAGTCTTATTTTTCTTCGTATGCTACCATTTTATTTTTATTTGAGTGGTGCATATTGGTACTAGGGAAATCATATTGCATGTATTTATTTCAAAAAATAAATAAATAAAAAAATAAATCATATGTATAAGCTTTTCTAATCATTTCTTAATGAATATGTGACAATCCACCTTTGCTTTTTTCATTGATGGTGAACAGTTACATAGTTATAAAGGAATTTGGAGGAGAGTACCATGCACGGAGTTGTACAATTCAAAAGTTGAATTGAAGTTATTTGCACTTTTTTTTGGGAGGTGATATACATAGACTTAGTCTATGTGTATCCCCACATAGACATCCAATGGGTAGAAGACACATCATCAATTTACAAAAAGATTAAGCGGCAAATTTGAGCGGTAAATTTCATAGCGATTCCCGTATTTGAAGAGATGAGCAGTAAAAACTTGATGGTGAATCCACCCCCATCCGCCGCCGACCACCACATGGACCACCTCCCCCAGCCTAGACCCTTTTCTCTTCCCCTCTTTAAGCGTCAGCGGTCAACCACCTCTTGCCCCACTAACCCCTTTCTCTTTCCCTCCATAAACGCCAGCCAAGACCCACCCAAACCCACCTGAACCACCTGCCTCTAAAACCCAGATCCCTAAACCAACACCTCAAAACCCACACCCATCTCGAAACCCCATACATCCGACCCCGAAACGGACAAACCCTTCCTATGATTTAGATGATGATGTCCATACAATTTACAATATTCATAATTTTGATACCGCATCAAATAATTTAATACTAATTTAATTCTTGAAACTTCATTTACAAATCCATTTTTGATACTAAAATAATACAAATGAAAACCCACCTCAACCATCTACCTCCAAAGCCCAGATCTCTAAATTAAACATACACCTCGAAACCCACCTGAACCACCCACCTCGAAACCTCATACGTCCGACCCCGAAACAGACAAACTCTTCCTAAGATTTAGATGATGATGTCCATACAATAACTTAACAATTAACTGAAGTTTCTTTTGCGAAATGATGCGTTTAACCCACTAAAGTGAACCACTTGAACTTTGTCGTATCTTCCGCTCACCCCCACCATAGTTTTGCTTTGATTCTGTCCACCCTCGTTGCTTACCCTTCTCCGAACCTCCTCACTCTCCCTTGTTTCACTCACCGTCTTCGCTTACCATTCTCTGAACCACCCCTTTCTCCTTAGATGACATCGTCGTCGCCCCTGCCATATGGTGTCTTCTTCCCCCGACTCTCATTCACCGCCATACATACAGTAAAATTCAAATTTTCTTTCGAAATATTTGAAATTGAAATTTTAGAAACATTAAGGTGGGACCAAAGTGGGGCAAATATTTCAGCCAATAGAATTGCAGAAAAGTCATTGTCTATGTAGGGTACCCATAGACTATGTCTAGTGTAGGGGTGAAAGTGATATGGATAAAAACCGAAAACGAAACCGAACCAAACTGAATTAACAATATGGATTGGTTTTTTTTTTTCCTATTCGGTTCGGTTCGGTCCGGTTTGAAAAAAAAAAAAAAAAATTGGATTTCGGTTTTGGGTTTCCAAAAACCGAAAATCGAAATCCCAAACCGAAATATTGGCCCATTAGTAATAAGCCCATACCTTTTCATATATAAATATAAAAAAAAAACCCTAATGTTCAATCCTCTTTCACGGAATTCACGCCTCATTCTCTCTTCTTCATCTCCCTCTTTCACGCCTCCTTCTTTCTCCTTCATCTCTCCTCATCTTTTGCTCTCAAATTTAATTTTTGAGTGAAAATAATGAAATTACCATCATAATCATCATTGATAAATCTGATTCAACCGGATTCATACGAAGTTGTTATCGCTACTATTGTGAATGACTTTTCTGGGGTTATTGGTACCCACCCATTGTGTTTTGCTGTTGCAGTTGCATTAGTTCGGAATTCAAACCCAAATTTGAGAAAAGAAAGTTTTCGGAATTCATACCCAAATTTTCTGGGGTTATCCTTGTATATTTTTTTTCTTGATTATCTTTTATATACTTGTAGTTGTAAATTTTAGTGTTGTAATCAATATTATTTATTAATTATTACAACTGTGTTAGTGTATTACTTCTTTTTTTTACTATGTTTTTTTGTAGATCTATTCCTTATAAATTTGGTTGGTTTATTTTATAATTATTCAACAGTCTGGAAAAAAAACCCTCAGAAATTCAGTTTTTGGTTTGGAACCGAATTAGGTTTTTAAATTTCGGTTTGGATTGGTTCGGTTTCAAATCTAGTTCAGTTTGGATTCGGTTTGGATAATTCAAAACCGAATGAATTCGGTTTGGGTCAAAATCCAAATCGAATACCGAACTTTCACCCTTATCTATGTGTACCCTTTTCGCTTTTATTTTTTTTCTGGGTCTTTCCCCATTTTCTCTTCCCTATTTGTTGTACTAACTTTAACAGAAAATTTAATTGAATACTTCCTCTGTTCTTTTTTACTTGATTTGTTTCTTTTATCACGCTTGTCAATCAAAATTTTAACGATCAATAACTTTAATTCTTCATAAGTAAAAATTATAAAATTATATATTATTATAGACTGATAGTACTTATTGAGATGAATTTTAAAAAATCTCACATTTTTTTTTTGAAAAGAAAATTAATTCATTAATGGAAGAGTCATGCGACATCTACAATATAAATCAAAACTAGCAAATACAATACAAACTGAATCGAATAATATTCTAACTTGACAAAACTACGATCGTTGTTATCTAGATTTGACATTTCTAAATGCCCTCTTTCACACCGCTGTTTGATACAGCTTTTCACGAGGGGGGTCTTTCGATCTATTGTAGCTTTGGAATTGAACACCATTCGATATAATTGATTGTAGAT